CCCAGGTCCATGTAAAAGTGGGGAGTGGTACGGTGCACCTGGAGCCCTAGTGCTGGGGGCAGAGACAGGCAGATCCCTGGAACTCGCTGGCCAGGCAGTGTAGCCGAAACAGTGCACTCCAGGGTCAGTGAGAGACCCTGTCTCACAAAATAAGGAGAGCAAAGGCAAAGACACCCAGTTCAACAGCCCTGACATGTATGTGTGTCCACATGTGCACACACACACAGAGGTCAGACAAGATTGGGTAACCATAGGCTTTGGGGAGATTGGGGCTGCCCAACATTATTACACACCCACAAATGCAGCTAAAATATACTTAGAAGTGAGTGTTACCTTAAACAAAATCAAATATTTTTAGATATGTACCAAACTGTTTGAGGCATTTTTCAATCAACACTAAAACCAGCAGATAAATGTCCTGGAAGGGAAATATGTTCCCCATGACATAAGACAAAATTGGAAGCTGTCTTGTCGCTATTATGAGTTAGTATTTATAGAGCTAGTTATTTATAATTACTGCGTAAGCCAATTACTTCTCAAAACCAGGACCATGGTTGATTTTTTCTCCTTTTCCATGCCAAGTCTTATCCTAATATTTTACTCTCCAAAATTATTTCTTCACAGAATCATATCAAAGGCTTCCAGACAAGAGGGGAAGAAAGAACAGGGAATCCTAGAACGGTTAGGGTTAGGGTCCCATCAGAGAAGCCCAGATACTCTCCTGGGTAGCACCCTCCTGAAGCTCATCATGTGGAGATGAGGCTTGGGTCGCATGGTCCACACGCCAGATGACTTCAGTGCTAAATTGACGGATTCCTAATCATAATTTATAATCACGAAAAGTGGGACTTTTTTCTAGAAAACATTTAAGTCAATATCTTTCTGTTTTTATTCCTAACATAATTTTCCCATGTCCTCTTCCAAAGAGAGTCTTTGTGATCATATCAAAGACACATAGTTGACACACACGAGCTCTGTGGGCTTTTTCCCTCCCTCCCTCCCTCCCTTTTCTCTTTCTTTTTGGAGTTCTGGGAATTGAACCAAGGCCTTGGACCTCGGAGGCAAAGACTTTCCTACTCGGCAACACCTGCAGTTCCCAGAGCTCTTTGAATACAAAGAGAATTCTGCCATTCGGTGCAGGACTACGGGCTACATCAGTCATGGCCTGGGCTGCCGCTGGAAACAGGTTCAGCAGAATAGGGTTGCGGAGGCCCTGAGGGAACTTCTTTCCCTTATCTTATTTCCATCCAGCCTGGTGCAGGCTGCCACTTGCACAGATTCTACCAACGTGGGTGTCTGTTACCACAGGGAGCATGTAAAATTCATATCCTTTCTTGCAATCCTCAGAACAGAGAATTCAATGAAATCTCCTGTTACCACCATCTCATATTTGCGAAGGCTAGAGTACATCATGTGTGACAGGATCTCCCCTTGACAGTCTGCAAATTCAGCTTCAGAAAATTCTCTCTCTCTCTCTCTCTCTCTCTCTCTCTATATATATATATATATATTCTCAGAAAGAGCTCAGTAGAGATTTGTTATTTCATTTCATGCTGACTTTGTTGTGCTATACAAACACCCTAGACAAATCCACTCATCTCTTAGGAAGGCTGGGGTGTCAAAGGAACTCCCGATCCCTCAAGATTGTTGTTTTGTGTCTCAAAAGTTGAGAAAAAAATTAAAAGTCATTAACAGAAATTAGAGTTCTAAAAACCACATTATGATATTCTCTTATTAGGCCGTCTTGCTTCCTAAATACCTCCCGGGTTCTAAGAGAATCACGTAGGTTCCCCAAGAAGAGGACCAACGAGGTACTGAGGCCGAGTCACTAAGTTTCCATTGTGTCGTAAGGGACCTTGATGGCTTTTCACTGGAAATTCGCATCAAGAGATTCTTTGTATCTGTAGACATTTTACCGCTTAATGGATATCTGCATATCTGTCATCTCTCCCATTAGATTATAAACTCCACATTGAATAATGTATGGCATGTAAGTACTCAAGTAGGGTTGTTGATGTGTTTCCTAAAATCAGCTCTGTATCTGTAGACATTTTACCGCTTAATGGATATCTGCATATCTGTCATCTCTCCCATTAGATTATAAACTCCACATTGAATAATGTATGGCATGTAAGTACTCAAGTAGGGTTGTTGATGTGTTTCCTAAAATCAGCTCTTGTTCTGGGAAGCCAGTGGGGCCCCT